GCTATGCGGGCCTGACATATCCATGGTTGCTGAAGTAGGTTTGGGGTCGACGCCCTCGTCACTGGAGCCGCTACTCTCCACATCCACAGGGATCTCGTCGCGGTGATCTTCAGTAGCACTGTCCTCGAACATTGCGAAACCTGTGCGACACAGCTTGCTCGGAGTCACCGTATATTTGTTACTGTCGAATACATCCCCGAATAGCGACTTGTATCGGTACACCTCCCGACAATCTTTGTTCTTGAATTCGTTGTAGTCTTTATTCTCCTGAACAGTAATTCAACATAAACGGCTTAGAAATGGATACACGTGAATTGCTCCGCACACATCTCAAAGTATAGAAAATAACCGAGCCAGTTAGGAGGAAACAAAACAACATTTTGATCCCGCAAATAGTTTAGTAAAAGGGCAATACATCAACGTATGACAGTATGGAGTCATATCATACTACACAAGACCCATAATAGCTGCAATATTGAAAAATTATTTTCATGTATTTCATCCACCCACAGGCACGTTAACGTAATGCTCAGCCTAACGTCTCATGTTGGCATCAAAATAATTATAAGTTCTCAAACCATTCCCATAAAACAAGCATTATAATGAACAAATTGTTGAGGAAATCAATGACGATAGGACCTTCATTTTTCGATTCCACCACTCCTCTGAGGCACCAATCTTGCCAGTAGACGGGTCGTACGAGATGCCGGAGCAGTTAAGCAATTCTTCAAATCGCTTGTGTTTAATGCGGAGTGTATCCCAGCGATTTTTCAGCTGCTGTTTGTTCCAATTGCGGCCGGAGGTGGTGTTGAACAGGTTGATCAATGTCTCCCAATCGTGTTTGGTGAAACACTTCCCATTTCGATGTCCGTCCGCGATAACGGACTCGCAGGCAGCCACAAAGATGGTGGTCTCACGTGCATTCCACTGTGCATTTTTACGAGGCACCCTTTGGTTTTGAAGTTCAGGGCCAGTTGAGGTGGAGGAGTTCTCGGTTCGGTAATACTGCAATTCAAAAACCACAGGGTGCTTACATCAAAAATGTGCATTATATCACACAATTGGATCAATGGAAGGGCACTCGAAAGGCTGAAATGGTAATGGGTCACTTACCGGATTTGGTTCGAAGCCTTCATCCATGTTTTTGAATAGCGACGATTACTTAGGACGATGAAGAGGAAGGCTGAAATGGCATAAATTGAAAGTCGCTACTGCACGAGGAGAACAGGCGATGACCTGTGTCGATGAAAGCACTGCAGGTCGTCGCTAGCAGATGCAGAGTGTAGGCGTTTTAGAACAGTAACTGGGGCGAACAAGCCTGAAGTGCTGAAGCTGTAGAAGCGGCCAAAGCAGAAGCTTCATCCAGATCCGGCAACCGGTGAACCAGCAGTACCCGTACTCGAAATTGAAGCACAAGCTGTAGTGAATGCTATCTTCGTCTTCGATCTGCAGAAGGTGAACGTCGGCTGCCGCTGTAGAATACGATTAGGTAGAACACGCCTGTGATTTGAAGCACGCAGGCGAAGATCGGAAATCAGTGGCCGTTACGTTAGGTGGAAGTGAACCGTTCAGCCTTTGCAGTTGCTAATGCTGGTGATGTTCTTTTTATCAGTTTCCTTGGTTCCAGTGGCTGATCGGTAAGGTGTCTCCAATTGTGGCCATTGTCGGTTGAAGGGGTGAAGGGGAAAGTGGAGTGAAGACGGTGGTTGGGAAAGGAGAGAGTTTCCAATTTTGTTTACTTCTGCCTTCTGTACGCCACACAAGGGTAGAAAATGGAATGTGGTACAATCAGCTAATTGTGATTATTGGACCGTTGGAGAGCCAACGGTCCAAAAAGGGCTTAAAATCTTCATTGTAGCCGACCCAGACAAGCACTTATATAGAGAGAAAAGTGAAAGAGAAAGAAGAGAGAGAGAGAGAGAGAGAGAGAGAGTTTTTCTATAAAGTGAGTGAAGATTCTTATAATACTGTGGGTAAGGGGCGAGGTTGGGTGTTGTGATCCAATTCAAATGTTTAGAAAGTGGGGGTAGGTGATAATGGGGTGTATTATTTGATTTTTAAATTAAAAAACAATTATAACATGATTTTTGAATAAAAATAATTGGCAACTAATTTTTGAAATTGAAAATTTAAATGTAAGGTTTAAGGTATGTTCGCTTTAGAATACTAGTATTAACAAATTAGGATTGCAAAAGGTCTATATAGCTCCTAACTGGTTTAGATAAAAGTAAATTTTTTAGTAGATAAAAGTAGATGAAATGTGTGATTGAGAAATTGTAAGTTCAATAAAATGTGTGGTTAACATTAATTTTTAACTGAACCAAACAAGTGTATATTATTTAGTGCTTTGGAAAAAAAAAATTACATTTTACACATTGTTTTGTTGACATAGAATAGTGGAAAACCAAACTTCAATTTCTATCTTCCCTAACAGCATAGTAATTGTCGTCGGTTTATATTTCAATCGGTCGAATTTTTTGATCTTGTTCTCTCCACGTTGATTAAAATTTTAAATTTTTGTTGTCCACATCTGTTTAACTCGACTTCAAAATTAGAATCAAATTATAGTTAGATGAACTTCGTGCTCTAAAACTAACAGGAAGAATAAATGAATTCTTAATGGAATTAAAGAACTAAATCCAACTTAGGGTGTGTCTGGTAACGATTTCCTTTGTATTAATATCGAAAATCCGACCGTTGGTTCCAACAAAATTCTTTCTCATTTTCTGACAATTGCAGGGTCAATAGTTCACTTGCCAAGTTTACCCTCGTTTTCATTTTCTGACCGTCGGTGAGTTTTAGTTGTTGAGGGCAGTTCTGGAATTTCGCCCGATCTGCCACTTACCTGCAATTCTGACATTATTAATCAGAAGAAAATGTGTAACAGTTAAATTTTTGATTAAAATTCACTTTTTAAGCCTCACTAGACACACCCTTAATAAAATTACTTGGTTAGCGAGACCAACGTCAATTGTCAATAAAATATGATCCAAGATTAGCATAATGATCATTGATAATGACACTCAACAAGAAAATTAGGCTATCGGACACAATTGTTATCCAACAACCAAATTTTTTGTTCTTTGTCGATGTTATAACGTCAATCAAGTACAAAGAAGATGTAAAAAATATCAAAATTTGACTGTCAAACTTACAGTATTGATTTTCGATGGATAATCCATCTATCAAACCAACTTATGATTTTAGGAATCTCAAATTTATTAATATTATTATTTTTTTAACAATGTCCTCTCCTGATCATACCAAATACTGCCGAGCCGAGCAGACCACCCCGAGGACGGTGGCACCAACTTTCCTTGAAAAGGCCAAATACTGCTCGGCTTCATACTGCTCGGGATTAACATATTTCTCGGGCAGATTTGTATTCGGACTTCGCCCATCTCATCGTGCTCTCTATTGATGTGGCAGTAATCCTCCCCTGGAAGGAGTCCTAGATCTATCCAACCACCTTGACCTAGGAATCCTAAATCACGAAGGTGTGTCCCCTTTGGTAACATTCCAACTAAGGTACTTTGAGACTCCTGATTGTGCTCCGACGCTTGTCCCTACAATCACTCCTGAAAATAAGGAGTTGAATCCTACTTGGACTATACTATCTACTCCTATAAATACAACCCTCCCATCCATTATTGAGGTACGTTTTTACATACGATTTGAGCATCCAATATTTTTCATATTCTCTCTCTGACTTAAGCATCGGAGGGGCGACGATAACACACCTCGACGCCTTTGTTTCAGGAACCGGAAGACCACGTTCATGTTCATTCTCAGTCGTCAAGTTCGGAAGTTGACCGATACGCTTTTTGGTAGCATCTTTCAATTTCCCAGTATCATATTCGTCATTTTGACTTTTGGTGATGTGCAGCGGTGGGTACGAGTGGTGTAGGAAATACGGGATTAATTTCAAATACATATATTTAATTATTTATTTAACAATTAATTATTTTTGTATTCTCTACAGTTTTTTACGTTAATATTCACATCGGTTCATCCAATCATTACTCTTCCCGTCTCCCGAACGCTAACCCCAAATTCCCCTCAACAATTCCGTCATATTTTCTCCACAAATCCATCGTGCAAAACCTATTCCATTCCCTTTTCCTTCGCCTTAGCAGATCCGAATTCCCCCCTTCCTTCGTGTTTTCCCTCCCAATGAAATGATCGTGAACTCCAGCGGTCCCGGACCCAATTCCCTCGACTCCTCATCCTCCAAATCCATAAACGAAACTGTTAATGGATCCCACCACTTCACCA